CCTAGCGTCTTCCAGAATTAGCCTGTGAATGGTAAACGTGGGCACCAGCCTGTCCGCCTGTGTTCTTGAGAGTCAGCGTTTTGTTTGGACTTGGCTTTTATCAGAACTGCAAGTTCTTCCAGGGAGGAATGGGCCTGTGGTTCCTCCTGCAGCCGGCAGGGGGCAGCAGCGGGCGGCCCGGGGTCGGCTCGTTCTCCCCCCGTTGCCTGGCTTGCAGATGGCCTCGTTCTCAGAATAAACCAGGATCAGACCTGGATGCCGAAACCATGCAGAATCTTATTATTTGTGACTGACACTATTAGCCATGTTCTCAGAACCATATTTCAGCCCCGCCGGGGGAGCTGCCAGGTCCTTTTGAGACGGCCCGGCACTCCTTTCTGCTCTGTTTTCTCCTCTTGCAACAGACATTGGTGAGAAACAAAGAATGACTGTGGTTGCATCCTCTGTGGGGCTGGCAAACCCAATTACAGTCCTCCCAGGCCATATCATTGTTTTTGCCTGCAATTCTTTCCTGCTAAATTCGTCTCTGTTTTCTTTCTCTGCTACCATCTCTCCAGCAGCAGGGAGGGAAGTAAAATCTCAGATCTTCCAGATTGGCTCTGTTGTTTGATTTCAAGATAAGCCTGGCTTAAATGTCCTGTTGAAGCAGACACAAACAGAGAGTAACTCAGTCCTGCTAAATGGAAAGAAAGCTGCCTTGAGAGGTCTTCAGGGCAATTACCTTGTTAATTGAATCTTCGGAGTCATTTAAGTGATCCTTGTAGACCCGACTTGAAAGGGATGATCAGATGTGCATGTGTTTTGCTAGAATGTTATCCTAGACTTAGGTCCCAGGGTTCACTGACAGATAAAATGGGGAACTATTCTAAATCAGTCTTTGCTTAGCACAGCGCAATTTTTCCCATGATTTCATTGATTTTTTTTGTAAAAATACCCAAGCTTGAGGGTTTTTTTTTTAAGCTGTACATTTTTATTTATGCTTTTACCTAGAGTGCAAAAAGCTTAAGCTAGTTTGAAAGGTTAAAGGGTTTGAAGAAAAAAGGTGGGTAACTCAATGGTAAGTATATCTTGATTGACTTTATTTCTCATGTCTGATCTGATAGAAAAAAAACCACACAGATGGTCCTTTAATGTTTCTTTCAGTACTAAGATTTTGTGAAGCATCTTTTAAAGAGGAGTAGGTGGTGTATGTAGGAAAAAATAAATGTGCTATTTTGGCTCCTAGGGAGGAGGGGGAGGGAAGCGATTATTTTTGGAATATGTTCTAGTTGCAGGCAGTTTTAGAAGAAATACAGGAGTGTGTGTTAATCCTTCAGGGAGGTGCATCCATGGAGACACACCTTTCAAACTTTTGTCACTGTGATCCCAGAGAGCACACATGTAATTACAGTGTGTGTGCGTATACAACGTCTATCCCCACACATATGTGGGGAAAGGGATGGTGCAAGTGCATGCATAGTAGCAAAGTTTCTTGGATAAAAAGTAGTTAAGTTCACTCTTTATGAGACAGTGCAGCCAGGCGCGGTGGCCCACACCCATAATCCCAACACTTTGGGAGGCCCAAGCAGGAGGATCACTTGAGCCCAAGAGTTTGAGACCAGCCTAGGGAACACAGCGAGATCTTGTCTCTCCAAAAAACAAAAAAAACAGATTAGCCAGGCATGGTGGTGCATGCCTGTAGTCCCAGCTACTCTCTGGAACCTGAGCCCAGGAGGCCAAGGCTGTGATGAACCATGATGGTGCCACTGTCCTACAGCCTGGGTGACAGAGTGAGACTGCAACTCAAAAAAGAAAGAATGCCAACTTAGCATTCCCTATTCAGGGGGAGCCACAGAGAGAATATAATTGAAAAAATAGAAAAAGATGAAATCAATTAGAAAAAATATTGACTCAAACTATTAATAGAATAGCAAGGGATTAACTTGAGTAAGGTAACTGGGATGTTTTCCCCAAAATTAAAGCAGAAAGATCTTGGTGTTGAGCATGGTGTCTTGATATTTTTTCCCCAAGGATTCAAAGAAAAAATAATATTTTTCTTTTAATTATTCCACTTGCAATTTTGTTTTATAAGATGGGGTCTTGTTATGTTGCCCAAGCAGTCCTCCTGCCTCAGCCTCCCAATGTGCTGGGATTGCAGGTATGGGCCACCATCCTCAGCCTGGATTAAATAATTTTATATCAGATTTTCTTGTGCTGCAAACCATGATAAATAAGGTGCCTGCCTGTGATGTAGCCCACACTTGTTTGCTTGAATCCCAGAGGAGTTCGTTTTCATGGACAGCTCTTTTACATGGACTTCGAGTACCATGTTTTCGCCTTTTGGATTACACCAGTGATTTGATTATGTTGATCCAACATCATTCACATTCCAGTGTGTACACAGCATGCAGGCAACCGGCTGTTGGAAGAAATTTTAATAAATATTGCCTTTCATTCAGTCTTTTAGTTCATCAAACAAAGATTGATTCTGATAGTGAAAGAACAGTTTCTGTAGCTAGAAAAGTTCCAACGTATTAAAAAACAGGAACATTGGCTATAGACTTTATATACCAACTTGTATGTTAACTTGATGAAATATGTATCTACCATAATATCAACTACATATGAATTATTTAAACGCAAACAAGTTTAACAGTTCCACCCACAGACTCCTTTGTGGTAGGATTGTTGGTTCTGTTTTCGTGGATTTTTTGGAGGTTACACACACCTTTCGATGTCTCCTTTCTCCTCTCTGTCCCTTCCTGGAGCTAACCCCTCCCTCCTGACACTGTCCCCTCCCTCCCTCCCTCCCTCCAACCTCCCACGGTTCTGTGTAGGTTCTGATCACCATCCTTGTCAATTGATTGCATTTCAACCACAGCGTGGGTTCCTGCCTAATTATTATTATCTCAGCAAGCCTTGGCTCCACCAGCTTTTCATTTATGACTCATGGAAATCCAGTTCTTGTGAGGCGGCAGGGGGTGGGCGGGTGGGAGAGATCGGGCATTTTAACACTCATCTATCTGTTCACCTGTCTATTTAACGCTTATTAAACCACCCCTCACCTGGCCTGGTTGGGTGTTGAGGCTCTCAGGTTGCCAGGAGGGTCACTGCTCCTGCCCACCTCTCTCAGGACCCCTGAGCCCCCATGCTTACCAGCTGACTTATGCCCTGTGGCAGTCTTTAAGCGAGCACATGGATACAGAGTCCAAGTACGTGTTCAAAATCCACCCTGGCTCTCTGCAGATCGTCAGAATGCTTGTGCCACTCACAGCTTTTGAGGTTGCTGTCCACCCTATACAGCGATGTGTTTCCTCACTTGTTTCTAAACTCGACACCCATAGGCATTCTTACCCCTCCCCACAGCCCTTACCCAATTCACTCCCTGTGTGTGCTCCCCAGTCCTATCTTTGTGTTTTTTCCTCTACTTTTCTTTTTTTTAAGAGACAAGGTCTTGCTCTGTCACCCAGGCTGGAGTGCAGTGGCGGGATCATAGCTCACTGCAAACTTGAACTTCTGGGCTTAAGGGATCCTCCCACCTCAGCCTCCTGAGTAGCTGGGACTACAGACACACACCACCACACCTGGCTAGTTTTTTATGTGTATACAGGTGGGGTTTCGCTGTGTTGCCCAGGTTGGTCTTGAACTCCTGGGCTCAAGCAATCCTCTCGTCTTGGCCTCCCAAAACTATGGGATTACAGACGTGAGCAACTCCACCTGGGCTCTGCTTACCTGTTAACCGCTGTACTGTCCCTAATTTGTGTCCTCCACTCAAGCTCTTCTGTTTCTGGTTTCCCTTTGGTGATGTGTTCATCTTCACCATCCCTGGCCCCTGGAGCAAAGCCCTTGCTGATAATTACTGGGTCACTAAATTCCCCAGACTGGGGCCACTGTCTGAAGCAGCTGACCTCCAGTTCTGTGGGATTCTCGGAATCACAAAGGTGGCATGGCCCTAGACCTGCCAGCAATGCTGCCAACATCAGCCAAGGCACCATTTCTCACTCTTCCTGAGTAACTTTTACCCAATCTTCATTTTCCCTCCCTCTACTCTAAAATAGTAGATGCTTTGCCTACTAGAATGGCTGGCGTTATTTTAGCGTGACATTTGGTGTATCTTTCTAATGCCATTTGCGAACCCTTAGTTCTATCTCTAACACAGAATCTCACCGACATCTGTCTTGATGACGTGCACCTGTCGGTGCCAGTATGGGGCTACTAGTAATTTTGCAGGGAGGCTTCGTTGGGTGGCAGGTAACAACACGAGCTTTGAAGGAGGACCAGGTGGGAATCCACCTTTAGCCAGGGACACATGGACAGGCCACCCCACCACTCTGTGACTGAACAGTGAGGTCATGGGGGCAGCTGTGAGGATGCAACAGGGGTCCTGTGCGTGAAGTGCTGTACACCCCACCTGCCGTAGAGAAAGCACTCCGTGAACGGCAGCCGCTCTCGTGAATGTGATTGGTGTAGATTGGTGGCCCAGGGAAGAGGAAAAGGCAGATCAGAGTCTGAAAGCATGTGTGTTAGATCTGTAAGTCGTGGGTTGCCTCCTGCCTGGGTTGAACAGAAGACACTTCTCTTATCTAGTTGTAAAGATAACATTAAAAAAAAGATTTAACTGAGCCTCTGAGGTTAAACGCCTTGACCAAGCCCAAGCCTTTGGCGTCCTCAGCCTCTGTTGCATGTTCATGATGCTGCCCAGGCAGTTCACAAAAGACTCTGCATTCCATAGGCCGTCTGTGCATTGAGTACAACGCACACTTTCCTCTCCTCATTTTTGTCCAGTGGTGTCTGTTTGTGATCTGGTGTTTCCTGTCTCTGGTTTTCAAATGGCCTAACACGTGGCCGTTTCATGCCAGTGTCCTCTCGAGGAATGCTCGTCACATGGTAGAAGAGTGCTGAAGGTTGTCTAGACCCTTCTTGAAGATGCCCAGACTCGGGACAGTGTCCAGGGAGTGAGGTCAGCGAGCCTTCGAGGCAGGTTCCAGGAGGCCCGATGCTGACTTTGCTGTCTTCCCCAGGACCTGCAGATAGAACGCGAGAGGACGTCCTACAACATATCAGGTGGCTGCACTGCACTCATCGTGATCTGCCTTCTGGGGAAGCTGTATGTTGCCAATGCTGGGGACAGCAGGTGAGCCCTTTTGCGGTCCGATTTCTGACATGTTTCCAATGCCATCTGATAATTTGGATCTTTTCTCAAGAAATGAAGTGATTAGGGCTGGGCGTGGTGGCTCACATCTATAATCCCAGCACTTTGGGAGAACAGTGCAGGAGGATCTCTTGAGCCCAAGTTTGAGACCAACTTGGGCAACATAGCAAGACCTCGTCTCTATAAAAAAATAAACAAATTAGCCAGGCATGGTGGCACATGCCTGGAGTCCCAGCTACTCAGGAGGCTGAGGCCAGGGGGATTGCCTGAGCCCAGGAGATTGAGGCTACAGTGAGCTGTGATTGTACCACTGCACTCCAGGCTGGGCCACAGAGGGAGACCCCCAACTAAAAAAAAAATTGCTCAAGAAACATCAACCAGGTGAAATGATCATACCTATGGAAAGATCGGTCCAGGCCAGGCTTGGTGGCTCAGCCTGTCATCCCAGCACTTTGGGAGACCAAGGTGAGAGGTCTGCCTGAACCCAGGGGTTCTAGACCAGCCTGGGCAACTTGGGGAGACCTCGTCTCAACAATAAATCTAAAGTTAGCTGGGTATGGTAGCACACGCCTGTAGTTCTAGCTACTTGGAAGGCTGAGGCAGAAGGATCAATGCTGGGGTGGCCGTGAATGTGCCACTGCACTCCAACCTGGTCAACGCTGGGGTAGCCGTGAGTGTGCCACTGCACACCAGCCTGGGCAACAGAATGAGACTCCAACTCAAAAAAAAGAAAAAAAAAGTAAGGTAGGTGCATTGTCACTTGTCTGACAAACAGTCAGGAATCAAGGGTGCCATTTAAACAAACACTCACAGAAGGTTCCAGAAACAGGGTCCTGACTAACTAGGTGCTAATTTTTCTTCTTTATTGGTAGATGCTAGCTGTCATGTGTCTACTTGAACTCTTGACAGTTTTGAGAGTGAAGGTGACTCTTTGTTGTTCTTTCACTACCCCACAATCATTCACACTCAGAAAAAGAGGAGCCTTGCCCTGGTTTGATTGGGAAGGTCGAGAATCATCCTCTAAGCTACTTGGCCATGCGACGTCTGATTTAGCATCAGGCGTGTGCGTCCCAGAGGGCTGTTTTCAGGCACGGCTGTATGTGGCTTATAGGCTTTTAAGTCAACGACCATCCCACACAGGAGGTGTGGGACCACTGGCATAGGGGGGTCGCAGTGATGCGGATGACTAACCCATGTGACCTGGCCCACACCTGGCCCTCTGCTTAGCCAACCTTTCCAGCCATTGAGGTACAGGCCATGACTGCTTGAGCATACCGGTTGCTTTGTTTGTCCAGACAGAGGCAGTCAACTCAACACCTAGGGGATCTTAGGGGCTCAGAACGAAGCAGATGGTGGGTAGTTTTCACTCCAAGCAAAAATGCACCTGGGAGACGTCAAGGGCCTGCAAACCGTCCCCCACTGCATCTGAGTCATCAGCTCCTTGGGGCGCTGAGTGATTGAGTCTTCAGTTGAGGGAGGTGCTCTGTCTCTATCTTAGAGATAATTTCCTTTTATTTTTAGAGAACTAAGGCTCTGAGGAAGCAAAGCCTTTACCATGTATTCCAAACAATGTCTTGTTTCTTTCCTTTTTTTTTTTCCAATTTGGAGTCTCACTCTGTCATCCCAGCTGGAATGCAGAGTCATGCTCACAGCCACTATAGCCTCGACCTTTTGGGCTCAGGCGATTCTTCCACCTCGGCTTTTCAGGTAGCTAGAACCACAGGTGTGTGCCACCATGCCCAGCTAATTTTTTGATTTATTGTAGAGACAAGGTCTTGCCAAGTTGCCCAGGCTGGTCTCAAACCACTGGGTTTAGGCAATCCCTTCATCTCCACCTCCCAAAGTGCTGGGATTGCAGGCATGAGCTACCGTGCCTGACAACAATGTCTTGTTTCTAATGACGGCAAAAGGTTTGGCAACTGAGACTAGGTGAAGTCATTCAGATTCAAGAAAACCATTTCACCCTTGCTATTTAATTTCCATTTCATTTCACCCTTGCCAGACCTATAGTAACAGCAGTAATAAGACAGCTAATTGGTGCTAGGCACATGTTAAATATGTAACAGAGGATTGTATTTGACTCTCTAGGCAACATCGTGAGAAGTAGGCATTGCTACCACAGTTCAGTGCAGTTTACTGAAAGATAAACTGAAACACAGTGAGGTAAAGTGATGGCCACAATCCCTCAGCTTGGTGAGCAGGGCCACCGCCTGCCCAAGTCTGGGAACCCAAGCATCTTGTCCCCCATCTTTGAGCTGGACACCACAGACCAAGACCCACGGGGTTTTGCTTTCTCATTTTAACATCTCTAAATCAAGAATTTCAGCTGGGTGTGGTGGCTCATGCCTGTAATCTCAGCACTTTGGGAGGCTGAGGCGGGAGGATTACTAGAGCACAGGAGTTCAAGACCAGTCTGGGCAATATAGCGAGACCTGGTCTCTACAAAAAAATTTAAAAATTAGGTGGACATGGTAGACCGTGTCTGTAGTCCCAGCTACTCAGGAGGCTAAGGTCGGAGGATTGCTTGGGCCCAAGAGTTTTAGTCTTCAGTGAGCTGTGAGCATGCTACCTCACTCTAGCCTGAGTGAAAGAGTAAGCAGAGTGAGACCCTGATGCAAAAGAAAAAAAAAAGAATTTCTCATTGGCATTTTTTTTCTTATGTGTATGTCAACTAATGGTCCACCTTTTAATCAATGGCATCTTGGATTTTGCCTAAATTATGGGTAAACAGATGGTCACACTTAGCAGCTAGTTTAAACGCCTGGCCATAGTCAGCACATACACTTTGGATGGTCCAGTCGTTCATTCAGAATATAGAAAAGAAAATTTCTCAACATGAAAGCTGCCGTCTCTTCCCGGGGGTCCCAAAGTCCTAAGACCATTTTAAATGTTCTGTTTTCATTTTGACGATAATCTGTTGAAAATAACATAAGCATTTTTGGGATCTTCTGGGTGACTCTTCTATGAGTGATCACCACCACAACTTGGGCTTCCAGCTTGTTGTGTTCATGGTTTCTTTGGGAGCAAATGTCTCATGAACTTTTCCAAAATGAGGCCAGAGACTCCTGGGAATGGAGGGTCATCTTCTCACACTTGAGGGTCCTCCTAGGAAGGTGGGAGCATGTTGCCCGCTGCTCAGAATAGTTTTTGAGCTCATCCTTTTTGATGCCTTTCAGTGCTTCTGTTTTTTGTTTCACTTCTTCCACATTGACAAAACTTTTCCCTTTGGAGACTTTTTTCATCTGGGGAAACAAAAAAAAAAGTTGCTCGGGACAAGATCAGGTGAATAGGAAACGTGGGACATGGGGGTCATGCTGTTTTTGGTCCAAAACTGCTAAACACTCATTGTGTGGGAAGGTACTCTTGTAAATCACCCATCATGAAATGAGCAAACGCATTGAAAAAGGTCTTCAAAAAAAATTCACTGAAGTCAAACTCAGCCTCTCACAACAATGCCAGGTGGTACTCTGATGCTGATAGGTTCCTAGAGCACTTTCCTAGCAGGGGAAGCCTATACTACACAGAGCCCACCCTCCAAAAGATAATTCTGGGGTTTTCTGGGTCCCCCCCCCAATATGCTTTTAGCAATGTCCCCTTCTCTCTCTCTCTCTCTCTCTTTCTCTCTCTCTCTCTCTCTCAATTAGAGTCTCATTCTATTGCTCAGGCTGGAGTGCAGTGGTATACTCACGGCCACTCCAGCATCAACGTGCTGGGCTCCAGCGATCCTTCCGCCTCAGCCTTCCATGTAGCCAGAACTACAGGCGTACACTACCACACCCAGCTAATTTTTTATTTATTGTAGAGACAAGATCTCGCCAGATTGCCCAGGCTGGTCTCGAACCTGTGGGCTCAGGCAATCCACTCACCTCAGCCTCCCAAAATGCTGGGATTACAGGCTGAGTCACTGAGCCTGGCGGTCCTTTTTCTATTAGCCCACTGAGGCTGCACTGGAAAGCCTCATAGAGTTCATCAAAATGGGATATTTATACTTAGGAATGTACTTAGATACAAGGTGATTGTGGCCAAGATAGTGACCTTTTCTACCACTGGCTGCTAAGCAGTGGATCAGTGTCCAGAGGGAACTTTCTAGCGGAGAATCCCAAGGCATCGTCTTTGGCCCACACTGAGATGAGGATTTCCAGGTCTATCACCTAATTTGCAGATGATATGGGACCAAGAAAGATAAACTGGCTAGACTCAAAGGCCTTTAGTGCTGGGAAATTGGGCTCAGCCCAACCAGGTGATACTTCACCACAAGAAAAAGTGTAGTACCTGATGAAAAAACAAAAAACCCAGCAGGATGGGGAGTGGGCAGAGCTTATCAATGGCTCATACTTTTAAAACTATTTAAGTAGACAGCAAATTCTGCCTGGTCAGTGGCGTGGTATCTTTTCTGCTGGCTTACTTGTCTCAAGCCCTGTTTCTAGTGTCTAGGGCTTTACATGGATAACCTCCCTAATGCTCACACCAACCTTTTTGGGAAGTATTAATGTCCTTTGACCTGTGTAGTCCCTGTCTGAGTGGCACCACTCAACATGTGTGTGAATGACCAGGAATCTTCAAAAGAGAGACTGGATGGGAAGGTGATTTGGAGCCATATTTGAAAAGATAAGGAACGCTCCAAAGGACGAGAGTTCTTTTCAGCCACCGGAGAAGATCACTTTTGTTGATATAAAAGAGATCTTTAGGTATTTGGTGGGTGTGGGGAGAGTGGCCAGGTTACTTCTTCTGGGACAGAGATGACAGCCACAGGAATGCAGAGTAGTGGCTGAGGACAGGAACCAGGACTCAGGCAGCCTGGACTGGATCTGGGCTCTGCCACTGTGACTGTGGGTGACCCAGGGCCAGTCTCATGGTTTCAGGACCTGAGTTTTGTCAGCTGAAAGTGGAGATGAAGATAGCACTCACGTCTGGGTGAGGACCAGATGAGCAGATGCGTGAGATGCCCCCTTCATAGGGCCAGGCCTGTGGCAGCTGCTGTT